GTAACACCCCTACTCTTTTTGAGAAACGCCCTGGGAATTTTAAGGACCACAGAGATTCAGGACCTCGGTTTTATATCTCATCCGAAGGACGGCGCCTTTTTACAGTGTAGTGTCCCCGTCACTATACTGGGGCATTAGGACCCACACAGACTGCAGGTCTGGTCCTACTAACACTCTTTACTGGTACAGGTACTGACCAGGCTCACACTTGCTGGGCTTCAGTGGGCTGCAGGTGATATCGCTGCTGGTAAGACTTGCAATAAACAAATAAAAAGGTTGAATAAAATATCAATCTCCGACGACTCAATTTTCACATACCTGAAAGTACCGTCGTTTCTGCTGGACAAACAAAGCTCCCCCCGAATCGCCTAAAAAAAAAAAAAAAGAAGTTCAAGTACTTCTAAAGCAAGACAAAGCCTCAAGTGAGAACTCTACAATATCTCTTAAAATGTATTTAAATGCTTAAACAGTATTCCTCTTTCTCTTACTAAAAAACACATACTGGAAAAGTCAATTTTGTTGAACGTTGGACAGTGATGTTTGAACATTGCAGTCTATGCCTGTCCACTACCCTAGAATATTATGAGGTCTAATAACCTAATAACTTGTGATCCCAAGGTGAAAGGTCAAAGGTGAAGGACGAAGGGGCAATGGTGAAACTCAGATTGTCACAGAAAGCTGGGAGTGCTTTTCTGGGATGTGGTTACAGTCCCTCAAAGCTGCAAAGACTGTACAGGAACAGGGTGTCGGCTAAAACGTTTCAGTTTGAATCCGCGCCGCTGGGAATGCTCGTGTCGCGGGCTGTGGCGGTAGAAAGGTTGCCATGGTGCTCTCACGACTGATGCGCAGATCGCTTTTAAATCATGCAGCGCTCTTTTAAATCACTCCATCAGTTTCATTAAAAAAAACACCAAAAAACAAAGCAGACAGGCCACTCAGCCCTTCATCTTGGTTTCACAGAGAAATGGCGTCCACATCAGGATGAATTTTGCAGAAGTCCCACAATATTAGACTCGGGGCCTAATATGGGGCTTAACCACTCGTGTGGCAGCGATTGCTTGTGTGAAAATGCTGCAGAACATGCTGTGGAGCTGGGTGCGGAAAGTCATGGGTGCAGCTCTTGTCTTCTGCGCTGCTGCTGTAAGAACTGGTGGCCATTTATTTATTCCTTTAACACTTTTGAACATTCGAGTCCCTGCTTGAATCCCCTTAGTCTGAAGTCACTTACCTTTACAGGCGATGGAGTCCTTGTACGAGGAGGACCCCCCTGTGCACAGGAACCTGTCGGTCACAAACTCGGACACGTCAGCTGTACTATCGGGCTCAAGGGCGACTTTGGCCTTTTCGATGCAAGCTGGTCTCTGGAGTTTCGAAATAAAAAATAAGGCTGTTAGTTTTAACAAATAAAAAACCCATCCATTGAAAATCTGTGAAATGGGACTATTGGTTAACAGTGCCAAACAGTGGTGAACAGGATGGTGTCTAACATGACAAGCAAGTGTCTCACACGACTATGAAGTCTAACTCAACATTATCTAATCTGACAAACAGCAGGGTCTATCACAACTAACAGCAGGGTTTATTATGAAAGTGTCCATCACGATGGTGTCTAGCACGACTAACAGCAGAGTCTATCACTACAAACAGTATCTAACAGTACTGTGCAGTGCATAATAGCCATTTATTACAGCACCCCAGGAATGAAACCCAAGTTGTTAAAAGAGGCGATGTGTGTAAAACAATGTTCAGTGAAACAAGGGGCTGGCCCGAGCCGCTGGCGTGATGCCTGCTCACCCGGCTCCCGTACTGAATGTGCGTCTGCTTCCTCTCCACCTGCTTCTTCTCCGTCAGCTGCTCAGCTTTGGTGAGAAAATTCGCTGGAATCTCCTCGGTGCGAAAGAGGGCCTTTACTGCAAGGAATCAAGACGCATTCCGGAAACGTGAACACGATCGAAACAGCTCGTGACTGCCCCAGAGTGCTTTGCAGGCCGGCAGGGACCCACGGTGTGCCTAGCCAGATGCACATGAGGTGTCACTAGGGTGACAGTTTAGTTTATTTCACAACAGGAGAGAAATGAATAATCCATTCTGAAGGTCTGCTGCGCTTGCTGCACCATTTTTGCACTTTCGCTGTAGTTCCACTTTGCTTTTGCGATGATTTTCTATGAATATTAGATCTTCACCCTTTGTTGCAGTAGACCCTAAGTAAACAATTCTGAAACATCTACCGCACACACCTACTCCCCAGGTTACAAAAGACCTGACTTACGCAAACTCAACTTACATAAAAAAAAACTCGGTAAGACTTACTGACAGACTGTAAAAGTTTCTAGGTGAAAAGAGTTGACATTACACACAACAAGAGAAACCCAGCAATATTTAACAAGACAAGAACGAATACATACTTTCTCTCGTCTACACAAATACTCGTGCGGTGAGACTATTCAGACTTTGGGTATTCTTCCACAATTTGTTGCAGAGTGCTTCTGATCTAACTTAAAACACCATCAGAGTCAGCGCACCTCGTTGACATTATGAAGCCACGCTCAGCATGAATGAGAGTGTGCCCTCACACTCACAGGTGGCATACAGTACCGCTCAGGGCCACACAGCGCCAGGAAGGGCCTCCAGTGTTAATCGGCAGCAGCTAGAACGCACTACACAGCGTACTTCATATTGTATTGACTTTGTGATCGACACCCCCCTGTGTGAGTTTTACATACCGTTTTAAAAGGCTCCTTTGTTAATCCACTTAGTTGGTTGCAGATCAATACAATCATTTGTCATTAGCACATTGAAGCATCACATCGTCACATCACTTTCAGTAAACCTTATCGAATTCTTGACCAGGAACCTATCCTGGGAAGCACTAGGTACAAGCTGGGACAGGATTGGGGAAGACAGAGCCTACCCTGGCAAGCACAGGTACTATTATCTCTGTGTAGGATTTGCCCTATAGGATTTTTTTCAGTGTGTAAGATTTGCCCCATGTGCAAGACATGCTGTACAGACACCTGCTGTTGCCACAAAGAAACTGATAGACAGGCTGCATTAGCATATTGCCATCTCACATATATGCAAGTCTGTAGAAAGGATCAGAGGGTAACTAAGTATATTGATCCTTAAACATGTGCTTCTCCAACACCATATTGGGTACATAAAGGAGGTGTTTAAAGTATTAAAGGATGCTTGGGAACAATTGTAAGCAGATCAGATAGGGGGAGAATCACTCTGATCTCAAGGAGTCCTCTACATAACTAAATAAACCTCTTTCAATTCTTCACTGAAATGCGTGGTGACTCCTTCTTTCTCTACATTATAATCGATTCTGAGGAAAGCTTGGCTTTCGTCTTTAGTGGACTGATCTGATCTAGGTACTTATACTACATGCAGCCTTGACTGACCATGTATATTATACGCCTGTTCTAGGCTCACTTCAAACTCCACTTGATTAGGTGACAACGTGCAGTGCTTCACACTGGGGTCCTATTGTAAGGCTGGGAATTAAATCAAAGATTGAACAGATGCTCTTACAGTGTTCATCACAAGTGGAGTTGGCCTTAATTTTCAGTGCTCTAGCTGAGGGTACTGTGCATGGCAGGCAGACAGGTCTGAAAAAGAAAAAAAACAAATTTCAGGATGAAAGATGGATATTGCCATTAAAAATTGAAATGATTCAACGCAGGTGGTCTCTAGCAAAGGATTTCACATATTTTCCTAAATATAAGCAGCATTAATTGTACAAGTAGACATTGTTTACAAATATTCTTAAACCATTTTTAAAATATTTTCGTGCTCCCTTACAACACAGAATAATAGCGAGAAAATCACGACGATTTTAAAGTGGATGGGCATAAAGTTTAAACAGTAAAGAGCACAACGAATCCACCTGTTTACATCTATGAAGACATTTTTACGAACTAACACTTTCGTCGGTTAACAGGTTTACGTTGCTTCTGTACAACAAGTATACCTTTAAAATGAAAACAAAGTATGGTACAGTAGAAGCAACAAAGCAAGATGGGACAGTCATCGTCAGAAGACGGCCAATCTTTTCATTTCCCACTTCCGGCCAAGTGGTATCCATCACATACAAGACTTCGATCTCGAGCAGGCGAAACAGGACAAGTTACCAAAGAGTGGGTCCGAATCTCGAAGGAGGGAAAGAGGACACGCACGACGGATCGAACCGAAATTGGTTAACAAATCCAGCAGACAAGTGGCTCATGAGCCAGTCCTTAAAATACACACTACCCTTGACGAGGATCGGTTTCATTCTCTCACCTCCAAACAAGCACCACTGATCCTCCGTTTTTAAACTGAAACACTTTGGTACGTGCAGTACAGATTCAGGATAAGATGTACACAAACTCACCTGGATCTCTCAGAAAACCCAATCTTGTTTTTCACTTTCACCAGCGCAACATCGTAGTCATAGAACTCCTTAACCTTCTTGTGGAGCAGTCCCTGTATGTCATACTGGGGGTGCAATACGATAGCTGTGGCCACATCGGACGTGCTGGCTGTTGAAAGGCACCAAAACAAAACCAAATGTCATTCATTTCATTCTTCACCCCCCCCCAAGACAAAGTACTGGCTTTTGCGTTTACTGTCTGCTTAGCTTATGAATTCAGGTTATCTGAGAATTTCCCAAAACCTGTCTGAGCAACTGCAATGACAGCTTCCATCCAAATTTTTGCACTTTATTCCTTGTATTTCTAGCATTAAGGATGCACATATTGGATGCATTTATTTTAAGCTTTTCTTCAATGCTGTCCTGGACAGATTTAGCCCGTTGTTAGATTTCCCCAGTGACTGCCTCCCTAATGCTAATACCCCTCTGGTTCGAACGCACCCTGTTAAGGGTCTCATTTGGATGCTCGACACCCCATAAAATGAAAGATCTCTTCTGTGCACCAGTTTTTTAGCCACATATTACATCTTCCTAATCCATCCCTTTTTTAATTATAAATAATTGCTTCCACTTCTAGAGCTCTTTTCTGGACACTCCACTCTTTACAGGTCATGGGGATCCCCTCCACCCCCACCAGTGTGCAGCCCCACCTGGATGATGCTCCAGTCCTCTCCCCACACACCAGCTCTCAGTGGGGAGGAGAGCAGAGTGATGAAGCCAGTTCAGAGATGGGGATTATTAGGAGGCCATGACTGGTAAAGGCCAGGGGGAGATTTGGCCAGAGTACCAGGGTAACACCCCTACTCTTTTTGAGAAACACACTGGGAATTTTAAGGACCACAGAGAGTCAGGACCTCGGTTTTACATCTCATGCAAAGGACGGCGCCTTTTTACAGTGTAGTGTCCCCGTCACTATACTGAGGCATCAGGACCCACACAGACTGCAGGGTGAGCGCCCCCTACTGGCCCCACTAACACCTCTTCCAGCAGCAGCCTTAGCTTTCCCAGGAGTCTCCCATCCAGGTACTGGCCAGGCTGAGCTTCAGTGGGGCTGCCAGCTGTGAGCTGAAGGGTGGTTTAGCTGCTGGCACATAAAAAAAAAACAAAAAACTTTAACTTCCTCCAATTTAGGGTCGCAGGGGAGTCTGAGACTATCCCAGCAACCCATGGGAGCAGGATACACCCTGGACGGGATGTAACGACAGCTTGTGTGTCTCTATTCACCAGCTGGGAACCAGGCTGTCAGGGGATGGCATACTGGATGTGGGTGCTGGCTGTACTGGGTGGGATGGCGACTCACCATTAAAGAGGATGGATACTTTTTTAGGCTCCTCCACCATATCCTGTGTGAAGCAGTGAGCTGCCGTGAGGATCCAGCTCTGTGTCAGAATGGTGCCCCTGCAGTTCTCTTTTTTCTCAATGCTCTAGAAATAGAGAGTCATCAGGATCACTGACAGCTGGTATCTACTGCGTAGATACAATGACAGGATGCTGTAGTATCTTACCACTGCTCTGAGCCAGAGACAGCAGTAGGGTGAGAGTTTAATGCACTTCCGATGTGGCTGCATTATCATTCCAGTGGCAACCCAGCTGTGCAATACAGCAACAGTGCACGGACAAGACATTCATATGAAAACTGACCTGAAGCTGTAATACATTACTACTGTAGTGAGAGAGGGGTGATAAAGACAGTGAGCACATGAACTTAAAGAGATTGAGACAAACGAACATGGAGGGAGAGATATTGAAAGGGATGATGGGGGGGGTGTGAAGTAAGGGCAGTGGGAAACAGTCCCCAGTAGGGACTACATTCCCCAGATTCCTCTGCTGTGTCACCTGACTGGTTGCTGGAATCCAACTGGTCAGGTGACTCCTTCAAAAACAGGAAGAGGAAGCTGCCTGAGTCAGTCATTTAACGGAGGCAGAGGGTAGAGCCTCTCTGGGTGCGGTCCACAGGAGGGAGAGGAGTAGACGTTGAATTAAAGGATTTGTGAGCATTTTATGAAATATGAAGTGCCTCAGAGAGCAACTGTTCTCAGTCATCTGGGAGAGACTTTGTCAGTTCTGTGGCTCGGAGAAGAGCCCAAGCTTTTGTTTGGGATTTGGCTGTGGTAGTTTTGGTTGTCCCCCCCCCCCCCACATTGTATATAAAGGCACTGGGGGGGTTTTAAACTTTACAGCTGTTTTGTGTCAGCTGGTCTGGGCCCACCTATGTCAAAGATCCTGTTACGACACACCCAGGGGTAGATCACAATTTACACGTGCTTAGTCGGATACCGCGGACATTTCTTGTGTGAAATCCTAATTTCAGCTGAATTCAACACTGAGAGAGCGAGAGGAGAGAGCGGAGGACAGTCGCGGAGGGCGTGCAGTTTTACCACTGTCTTCACTTCCACGTGCCAAGGGTTGACGTATCCCACTTTGAGCTCCTCCAGCTGGGCTTCGCTCTCCTGAGCTACCCCGCACATGGTGACCGCAGAGTCACCTGGGCAGGAAGGACACCGGCCAAGTCAAAGACCATCCCGCTGCTTCTGCAGTGCTTGCACCAAAGTTACTTCGACGGGAGAACCAGTGCTCCGTCACCTCTACAGACTGTACATTGCACACAAATCATTCTGATTTGATCTTCTAGGCTAGATTAATGAACTGAGACGGTCTGGGTGGAAGGCAATGCAAGTGCCTGAAGCCCAGAGTTGTTGTGTTGTGAATCAATGGTGTTCTGCAGTGGTATTTACTTCACCGGGGATTTAATCTTTGAAAATCGATCAATTAGCAATTTTGTTTTCTATTGACAATAGGTCATAGTGTGTGGATTGGGTATATTCATGTCTTTATTGGGGGGGCATGCTGGCACAGTGGTTACCATTGGAATTGAGTCCTGGGTTCAATTCCTGGGGTACTGTCTGTGTGGAGTTCATATGATCTTCCTGTTCGCCTCACACAGTCCAAAAACAGACTGGTAGGTTAATTGGCTTCTGGGAAAACTGGCTCTATTGCGAGTGTGTGCTTGTCTGTCTGTCAGCCCTGTGATGAACTGACATCCCATCCAGGGTGTGTCCTGCCTTGAGCCTATTGCCTGCAGGGATAGGCCCCGGGCTCCCTTGTGACTCTGTATTGGAAAATACAATTCGAAAATGGATGCACATTTTCATTTACTTCCTGGGGCAAAGTTGGTGTCCCCATTGAGTATTTTGTCTTACTCGTTTTATTGCCCTTTTCAAGAATCTGATTAAATAGACACCTGGAGGGAGTCCATATAAGGGAAAGCAGCTGTCAGGTTATGCCATGTGTGGGCACTCCTCTGGGTTAATGGGAATGTGAATAACAATGTACTGCATTGTTGCCAGGTCACTGGCAATCATCTAACACCTGGACACAACAGGCCAGTTTATCCTAAAATGGGAAATGATACACCGATTTTCAAATGAAAGTATTTTAGACCTGAGAACATCTGCAGAATATCGGATATCTTGATGTTCAAGTATAGTGATGTTACTCTTGAGTGAAAGCTTCATTTCCTTTGCCGAGATCATTTCATTTTGTAATCGCAGAAGCTGCTTGTCCCCCCAGATGCAGAGGGGAGAAAGACACTGTAAGCCCTCACTAGATTGTAAAGCACTTACTTTACCAAGAGAGAAAACGGCAGTGTTACAGAGATTCACACTAACTGAACACAACACTGCAAAGGGGCTGAGAGAGGGTGAGAAAGCAGGGGAGAACAATATAAGATACTGGCCGCAGGGTGGGTCAGTCACCACCCAACACACACGTGAACACAAACTCACTGATCATCTGGTCAAAAACCTTCCCCAGCTCCTCGGGCCCTTTGAGGATGAAGAGATGCTCCTCGTCTCTCTTCTGGGAAGCGATGGAGTTCAGTTCCCTCTTGTTCACCTTGTCTCCCACTCCAAACACATAGATGTCTATGAAGGGATCAGTTAACCAAGTTAGACACGCAGAGATTCCGCTGCCCAGTAGCCTGGAGAGAAACTGGTCTTCCTTCACAAGACAGGAAAAGGGATTTTCACACAGTTCCTCTTTGGAACCGAATGCGGGTCACACCTGTTACCGATTGCTGTCGGAGGTTACACAACCTCTCAGAACCAGGTGTAGTACACACTAACATCGACCTGTAGTACATACTGTACATAACCAGGTGTAGTACACACTGCAACATCGACCTGTAGTACATAACCAGGTGTAGCACATAACATCGAGCTGTACACATGAACGCACAAGCACGAACCAAGAGGGAGGTGCTCTGAGAAATTTGAGAAATACAAACCGCTTCAATTAAAAACCTGAAAAGTGTTTCCCCGTTTTCACCCAATACCATTGATTTAACACAATTATGGCTCTACCTGTTACATTTTTTACATCTGGCTAAGCCATTAATGTCACAGTTAACTGGTAAGAGATAATAAAACATTAGACAAATGTGTCCCAGTAAGGCACTGTAGGCTCTAGGCTCCTCTGAACTTGGCTAAGACCCATCTCTGTGCGTTTGCTATGTTAATGGAATTTGTGTACTACAGCTCTTGTAGATTTGCAACTTCACGTCTCACAAGCAGCAGTGTGGAGCAGTGTTTAGTGCTCTAGATATGCAATTGGAAATTCAAAGGGTTCAAAACCCAGGTGAGACAATTGCTGTGCTTCTGAGCCACGTAATTCACCTATCGTATTCCGATGAGATAGTCAGTAGTATAAATGGGTGCAACGGTAAGTCCCACTGGAGAAAAGCATCAGACAAATCAATAAGTGAGGGGTAGAAAATCAAGTTACAGAACTGGCTTCTGGGAAGGTAAGACCGACTCCAGCACCACTTGGTGACTAAGAATAGAACTGCATATGGCCAGAAAATTAACTCACAATTGCTTATTTTTTAACTAAAATAAACAGAACTAACAACAAAAATATTTTTCTAATATTAATATAGAAGTAAGGGTTCACATCCTTATTCACATGAGGATATTTACTGTTGGATCTTTAATTTTGTTAATTAAATAAATCTTCTGTCTTTGTTCTATACATTTAATCAGCTAATGCATATATCTTATTAAGACTTTCAGTCGCTACAGTAACTGTGTTTCAGGTCTAGAATATGAGACTACAGCCCAGCCTAGAAGGGTCACAGACTGGCACTGTGCATGCAGACCCAGTAAATACAGCACTGAAGTATGAACCACGCTGACAGTTCTGTGCAAAGAGTGATATTGCATGTAGGCGATTTTGTTACAGTGCTGGGAGCACGTCACTGGTATAGAAAGGTGCACATTACATACCCCAGGTAGACCTGGAGTTAAGGGTCAAGAGTAGCAGCTTACCCAGATAGTCCTCGTTTGTGTTATCAAGACTAGGCATGTGGATCCCGAGCAGAGAGCGGATCTTATTCAGCACGGACTTCGGGCTCCCACCCGTGTTGGAGTGACCTGGTGAACAACAGGGAGTGAGGGTGGGAGAGGCACAGTGCCCACCCACTCTCTAACCACTTCAGCCAGTTCAGGGTGGTGGTCAAGCCAGAGCCTATCCCAGCAAGCACCGGGTGCGAGGCAGGGTACACCCTGGACCCAGTCCGTCACAGGGCAGACGGAGACACACCACACCCCAGCCCGTTTTCCCAGAAACCAATGAAATCACCAGTATGTCTCTGGACTGTGGGAGGAAACCGGAGCACCTGGAGCAGACCCACGCAAACACGGGGGGGGACATGCCAACTCCACACAGACAGCATCCCAGGAATTGAAACTGAGGCCGCAGTACTAACCATTGTGATAAAATGTCCCCCCAAAATTGGATCAATTCCTTGTCAAATTTGAGATCGCCCATCTTTCACACAAAAACAGGGAGAACACACAAACTCCACACAGACAGCACCCCAGGAATTGACCCTGGGCCCCCGTGCTGGGAGACGTCAATGCATCCTGACCTAAAATAGCCGCTAACCCTGAATAAGCTGTCTCGCATTGCTGAATACGCGCAGGACTGGGGCTTTTCCGAAGCCCCAGAAACCACCCTGGCTTCGCGTTTGGGCTTACCGTCTGACACAATGAGAATGACGTGGCGAGTCTGGTTGAACTTGCTTCCCTTGTTCTCTTTCAGGAAGCCCATGTTCCTGTAAACCATGTTCAAAGCTGCGTGCAGGTTGGTGCCGGTCTTATCCCCATGGGCTGCAATAAGCAAAGCCATTTAAAACAGACCCAGGTGCAGGCAGCATGCTGACAACCCCACAGCCCGTCTGGAAAAGGCACACCAGTGCCTGCACGTTCTGCGGCGCTTAACGAAATGCGGTTTGGGAAAGCAGCTCCTCATGAGCTTTTACCCCAGCACCACAGAAAGCGTCCTCACTGGCGGCATCACTGTGTGGTACATCGCGACAGAGATGCACTACAAAGGGCTGTGGCAACAGCACAGAGGATCATAGGATGTGATTGACCATCAAGCGGTGAGATCCACACCATCTGGTGTCATAATAAAGCCCCATCCATCACTCAGGACCCCAGCCATCCCATTATTTAATCATCATTATTCAGGATCACAGCCACAAAATGTCCTCCCCCACACAGGTACCACACTAGACTTAACAATAGCTTCTACCCTACTGCAGTACACATCCTCAACCGCTAACTGCAGGGCCTCAGACTCAATACACTACTGCACTGTGCACTTTCTGTATGATCTACATGTTCTTCTCTGTACTACACTGTTATTTATTATTTCTCTCTACTACAGAGAATGTTCATAATGTAGTGTCCACATTGTGTGGTGTTGTCTGTTGTACTGTGTATGTCCTGAGAGATCGACGCAGTTGAGAATTCCAATGTACGTGCACAAATGGCAATAAACGCCTCTACTCCATCTACTCTGTCAACCTTGGCAAACCTGTCTTGCTCTGCTGCAAGTTCAGAGAGTTCTAAAGTTCTTTTTTTTAAGTGACCTTCGGCATTCAGCAGGGCCCCCCGCAGTCATTCTAGATTAATTATTGAATTGACATTTTTGGATGTGGCGATTAAATGAACCTGTAGCACAAGTAAAAAGCAAGTAAAACCCGATGATATTAATAAGAACTTCCACAGCTGTGGAGCTGCACAAGAAAAAAAAACATACATTATTGAAGTACATTATGTGACACTGAATAAGCTAGCTGTATACTTCTCTTAACAGCAAGAAATGAAGAACCCTGTGTCTGTAGTCTGAGATGCACTCTTAGTTGATGGAACTAGGCCTGCTCATTACCCATGATTCATTCTGTTGACATTTGACCCCACTGAACTTTTATTCCATCTACATAAATCTCAACAGGACAGAATCTAACATCTAAATCCTACAGATTGCACACTCTAAATGTAGCGCCACATTCATCAAGCATAAGGAATTGAAAATAAAAAGTTAAACGCAGTTCTTTCAACGGCTTAGCTTTGGCAGAAGATTGATTTTAATTCTACCGACTTGTACTCATCTGTTCAACCCTTAAGAATCTTCAATTAGTCCTAATGTTCAGACAGAACCCAGATGGATGAATACACTGTACAAGAACTTCAGCTGCACAACATTTCTGCATTTACCTGTGTGAGGTAGAGAGTGTCAGTTTCAATGAACAGTCATTCCAAGACAGAAGCCTTTAGCCCAACACGTTACCTGTGTATTTAAACTCGTACAGCTTGTCTATGACGTATTCCACATTGTTGCTCTCCGGGTCAAGTATAGACACAATCTCTTTGGCTTGGCTGGCATAGGAGATGACTTCATACTTCTGCTCCACTTCATAGCTGTCCAACTACAAAGCAAACACATACCACTGTTTCAACATGGCGGTGAAGTGGTGAGCATTACTGCCTCACAGCGCTGGGGCTCCGAGTTCAATTCCTGGGGTGCTGTCTGCATGGAGTCTGTATGTGCTCCCCGAGTTTACATGGGGTTCTTCCCACAATCCAGAGCCATGCTGTTAGGTTAACTGGCTTCTGGGAAAACTGTCCCTGGTGTCTGTTTGTGTCCTGTGCAGAACTGGTGTCCCGTCCAGGGAGTACCCCATCTTGCGCCCATTGCTTACTAGGATAGACTCTGGGCTCCCCCCTAACAACTCTATACTAGATAATGTGGGTCAGAAAATGAATGAATGGATGTCCTAAATGGACAGTCTACTGTATATACTGTACTGTAGCATGTTATTCACTCACAGCATCCATTAATACTGTTGCATAAAGAGCTCTAACAATGTGATGAAGCCAAACACACCTAAACACATGAACTATCCCCCAGCATTCTGTTGCTATAATTGCTTGCCTATACTTGTGGTTCCATTTGGACAGTGTTTTTTTATGAATAATTGGTTCATTAGCCATTATCCAGTCCAAGAAATGTTACCCAAGCCTTAAGCAACAGTTGGAAGTTTTGCTCAAGTCCTATGAACAACATTTCTTTTTTAGGGACAAATGGTGGAATACGATCATCCCCTGGAGATCTGTTAGTCTAGAGTCCTTCTACTACCATGAATACGTTTGCCCCAATGTCAAATACACTGAAATTGATTAAATAAGACAGAATTTTGTCCTTCCTCAGGATGAACATCTGAGTGAAAGAAAAGCCATTTAACAAAATCAGATTTCATTTTTTAAAAGTTTAAAATCTGAAGTCTTTGTCGAAGGACATTACATTTCTTGGAGTGAAGTGTCCAGAAAAGTGCTATATAAGTGTAAGAAATAGATTTTTTTGAAGAGTAAACATTGCTTGCACCAAAGAGAACGGCCATCATGTATCCCTTTGTCACAGCTCTTGATATCACTTACTATACGATGACAACACTATAATGATAGACAATGGCTGCAAATTCAATCCTTCAAATAATAAGCAGTGGGGAATCACTGAAAAATACCACAGTAAATCTATGCATTTACACCAGATTATGAATTTCGTATTTAAATGCCTTTCATCCTTTATCTGATTTTCAAAATACAGTGAAGTGATAACTAAAATACAAGATCGTTTGGCAAAGGGTCGCATATTCTAAAAACCCATGCTGTGCTTCAGTATTTAAACATTAGATATCAGAATATAATAGCCCTATTCACATTGTGCTCAACCTATTTATGATAGCACTTTACAGGTCATAGGGCGGAGCGGGTCTCTGTGGCTCAGGATCTGCGCCTGTGGCTGGAAGGTTGCCGGTTCGAATCCCGCGGCTGGCAGAGGAATCCTACTCTGTTGGGCCCCTGAGCAAGGCCCTGAACCCCAACTGCTCCAGGGGCACCATATAAATCGCTGATCCTGCGCTCTGACCCCCAGCTTCTCTCTCCCTGCCTGTGTGCCTCATGGAGAGCAAGCTGTGGTCTGCCAAAACACAAATTCTTCATGCAAGAAATTGTATAGGGCTAATAATAATAAATAATGAATTACCTTTCTGATCAAGGTCAAGACGGCATCCTTAGCCTCATCAAAATATTTCGGGTTGATACTGCCTGATGTGTCCAGGAGAATGTACACGTTTAGCTTGCCATCATCCTCAATGCGGATCGTTCTCCCAAAAGAACCTGCAAAGGAGCCCACAACGCTTCAGACACCCTGGACTCTGGGAGGAAACCCACATGAACACAGGGAGAACATACAAACTCCACCCAGACAGCACCTCAGGAACTGAACCCAGGGCCCCAGCACTGCTGCCCCCAATAGTAAATCTTGAGTATACACTATTTTTTGTACTTTCAGGCATACTGTAACCCAGAAACAAAAGAATCTTGTCTTCCTCTACTACAGTACATCACAATACTGTAATTGCACTAATAGAGTTATGCTGTATGTGCAGTACAGCCTTCACAATCCTCCAGATTTCTAACGACCGATTTCAGAGCATTCATGGATTTTTTTCCAGCCTCTTCCCATAGAGCTAATAGTAATATTCTCCCTTGTTACCTGTGCCTTTCTTGTCTTGGATATAGGAGAGGTCCATCACAGCGGACAATGAGGCGCCCAGAGCCGTTGCCACGACAGCAGGAGAGTCAAAGGAGAACAGAGCTACAGACAGAGAGCAGTGGAGTTTCATTACAGACACCGCCTTCTGGAGACAAGAGAAATATACTATTCAGCTGCCTTCTTACATATCGGATGGTAACAAAAAATCATGATGCTACACTGCAACCCCACTTACAGACGAACTGTGCAAAGAGATACGATCTATTGCAAAACCTATCGTTTGGTCTTGAGTCCAGTTGTGAAGCACACTACTACAATCTAGTGTGAACAGGGACAATGTGTGATATACAAATAAACAAACTGAGAGATATTTCCAGGTTTTGTACAAGGGCAAGATTGTAAGAGAACATTTCCAGATCTGTCCGTTTGTTCCTAAATACAGTACTTCTTTATTTCCTTTCCCTGTGTGCGTCATGATTTGATATTAGCGAGGCCAGAAAGCAAAATGCAAAGGAATAAGTAGATATGATCCATACTGAAAAGTCAAACAAAATATAATACATTAGTTTCCTGATTTGTTTCTCCTTGGATCCCTTTTCTCTCCCCCTGCCTATTCTCACATCCCGTTTTTTTTAGCTCCCTGTGGACCCCTGCTCCCTCCATCACTCCTCCACCCCTGATGAAAGCTCCACAGCCGCAATTATTGCCTGTTTCTTTCTTTCCCAGCACCACCTTAGCCTCCCCCACGCATCTTTGCCAATTTAATACGCTGTGTTCTGCTCAACCCGGCAGTGTTTTAATGGGTAGTGTCGGTCATCATGTTGTTTGTGTCAGACGGCAACTGCTTGAATTACAAGCTAAATATAGCTTCCGTGCTTTGGTGTCAGTCTGTCTCTGTATTGCGTACAATATATATTGTCAGGCAACATATAGTCAGTCGTCCATTTTAATACATGGTGTCTTTCCAAGTTTCATTCAAAATGATTGTATCCCATTAGTTTGACTCTCAGTCTGTTAGTCTCTTTGAAAGTATGTCTCTGTCCCAGTTTTATTGGGTCTCTACATGGTCCATCCTTCTGTTCTCAGAGACTCAGCGAGAGCTTCAGTCTTTTACAGTGTGTTGGTCTATAAGTCTGTCAGTCAATTAGTACATCTCTAAACTCTACAGGCAGTCTGCATATCTGTCTAGCCGGCAGTAATAATTCAGTGTTTCACTGTGCCTCTAGTGTCCCAGTCAACAGGTTTGCTTTCCCGTGTTTGTGGCTGGGCACGTCTCCCAGCGTGCAGGCGTCCTCACCCAGACAGCGCGGTTCTGACCCACTCCACACTCTGGCGCTCAGACAGACTCTGTCCGAGGAGCCCAGAAGCTCCAGGCCTTGGTGGCAGCGGTATTGGACCGTCTCTCCTACCCGGAACCGGCTTCCGGACCTCAGAGAGCCAGGAGGAGCTCCGGGATTCACGCAGTCTTCCACTGGGGTGACCAGACCAGGAAGAGTCAGGCAGTCAATCATAACCCCACCCCTCGCCAAACACCGTAACAGGCAGTGCTGCACAACCTGCAGTTACAATACATACCTTGGGTATGAAAACATGCACTATGAACACGTCTGAAATAATGCATACGAACGATGGATTAACCTCCAGAAATAAATGGAAACTGACTTCTGAGGAACATAAAGAAAGACTGAGCTTCTATTTTCGATGGCAGTGTTCACTACACTGTATGAAGACCCCTCAGTGCGGGTTCATCTGCAGAAGTGTCCCACAAATTAGATTCCAGGGCAGCATCAAAATACCCCATAAGGGACCTAAAACTGGCTCCTCGTTAAGCTCAAGCTGTGTGTGTTTCTTTCCCACGGAGGTACGGATCCGCCATCTCGAGTGGCACAGGCAGCCGGACACTTGTCACCTCGGTCGTCACACACAGGGGTGGATCCAGTCCAGTCGCCTCCGCTGGTGCAGTTTCGGACCTCCGAGCCGTACAGCTTGAACCCTTCCTGGCACCAAAACTGCTGGCTCTCCCCCGGGCGGAACCACAGCTTCCTGGGGCTGAACACGCCGTTGTCCAGCTGCAGCTGAGCTGGGCACTGCACCTCTGAGACAGCAGAGCTAGGCATTAATACCGACAGCCTGGGGCACAGAGGAGCTTACAGACTACACTGGGACAGAGATGAGGGGGATCAAAAGGTGTATTCCCACTACTTTGAGCCAGAGAGACGCTCAGCACAGAGGGCTGCTAAAACTGCACAACACAGTGCATTAAAATTGCCCTCACAGTTTCTCACACTGGAAGCAAATCCCAGTCCATTAATACAGCAATGGAGGGGATAGCTGATGCAGATGCAATGTGTAACATTAACGTGGCACTGCAAGACGAATGCGTACTGACTGAGCACCTGGACTTTCAAGTCCGCTCATATCAAAGGACACCAGGAGAGTTTCTTAAAATTCTTGTATAACAATGTGCATATACTGTACAGTATAGGGTTGTTGGGTATTTTTTTTTTAAAGCAGGCCACATTATGCAAAGACGTGGAATTAAAACACAAAAATAACCATCTTTTTTTGCCCCCCCCTCTGAAATAAAAGACCAGTCATCACAGTCCAGTCCATGATAGATAAGATTGGCCATATACAGTTTTGGCCACACGCTGACAGGGAGAGAAGCTTGGGTCAGCCAATTATACGGAGCCCCTGGAGAAGGATTCCTCTGCCGGCCGCGGGATACGAACCGGCAACCTTCCAGCCACAGGCGCGGATCCTGAGCCACAGAGCCCCCGCACTGCCCCATCCTTGAAATAGTGTTTCTAGGATCCGGATCTTTTTTTAGCTTTTGAGGAGCCTTTGACAAAACATGTGCGATCCACACCTCAGAAATGCATCGCCATGCTACCGGATACAAACAGGGAGAGGAAGAGGGACGATACTGCCCAGGATTGCACAGACCCTAGGAGGGGCTGTTCGTCCACGCGCTGGTACCTTTGCAGATCGCCCTGGTTGTGCTCCGCCCACTCGGGAGCCTCATGGTCGACCACGCCCCCTCGGCGTCGCAGACCCTCTGCCTGACCGGGTAGGGGTACCAGCCCTCATCGCAGTGGTAGGTCAGCTCACTGCCGACAGAGCCCCCCTGGGAATAAGACACCCTGCCTCCTTCAATAGCCTCTGCCTGAGGACACCCCTTCGCTTCAACATCGTCGTCTTCTCCTTCTGGAGCCTCTTCTGTTTTCCCTGAGGAGACAAGGCACCCCTTAAAAAGGTGGGGAAAAACATGTGTATTCATCATGGCCGACATTAAAAGTGCATACCTGGCCTGGAAATCGAACAGAACGGAGGTAAATATGCTATCAGTATTCAGTTACAAAACACCGCCCCAAGGACAAGAGCTGGGTTGAAGGGAACATTTTTTGGATTGGAAACGCTTTTGAAATCAAATTCGATTGGGGGGGGAACTGCGTCTAAACTATAGTCAGTTCAAATCTGAAAGTGCAGTCAGGGGAAATATCACATAAGGGGCCATGTGCCGTTTGACACCCCGGTCTGTTATACTCAGATTATTAAAAAAACTCAAACTGAATTCCCCCCCCCCCCAAATTAAATGCAGACATCTTCTGCTTGCACACAAACCCTTTCATTTTCTAACTGCTTTGGGGGGGGGGAGGCGGAGTCTATCCCAGCAAGCAACAGGCGCAAGGCAGGGTACACCCTGGACGGGACACCAGTCCATCACAGGGCACACACACACTCACACCAAGGCCAGTTTTTCCAGAAACCAATTAATGGAAAAACTTGATCTGAATTATGTTCAAGTTTTCCCATCCTAAATTCTGGTGCAGACATGTTTCTACTGCATGCACACAAACAACCATCCATCTATCCATCTAACTGCTTTATCTGGTACAGGGCCACAGGGGGACCAGAGTCTATCCCAGCAAGCAACAGGCACAAGGTAGGATATGCCCTGGACAGGACACCAGCCCTTCACAGGACACACACACACATTCATACCAGGATGAATGTTTCCCCAAGCCAACTAACCTACCAGCATGTCTTTAGACTGCGGGAAGATACAGGAACACCTGGAGGAAAACCAAGCAAACACAGGGAGAACATGCAAACTCCACACAGACAGCACCCCAGGGATCGAACCCAGGGCCCCAGCGCTGTGAGGCAGCAATGCTCACCACTGCGCCACAGTCCCACTGTCAAGTAATCCAAACTGTAAAAACACTTAATTTGAAAAAGTTCCAAACCACTGCACCACCCCTGCACACCAGCATCACTAGCAATATTGTATGAAAAATGAACGCTGCCTAACACTTACCTACAGCGAAGGTGAGGGCCAGCACCACAGCTACAGCACAAACCTGCGTCCTCATTTCTCCTAAATCCAGCTCTGCCTGTCGGGTTGTTTAGTTAATTCCTGGATATCTGGGAATCTGTGTCCACACAAATACCTCTGGGCTGACCCCCAGGGGACTTTCCTGCATCCAAAACTCCAGTCTTATCTGACCAGCCATTATTCATTAACAAACAGTCCCCAGTGGGAGGGAGGGGGAGGAGGGCAGGAGAGGGATTGTGAAATATGGGAAATTCCGATAAAATGTCAGCACTTGCGTGCACTGAAACCTGAAGAGGAGAAATTGATTTTACAGTCAAATCACAGGCCGTTAGTGTTAAAGCTCGGTAAAGATCTGTGCTAATTTATGGCAGCATATTATTGAGGACGCAAAGCACTGCCAGTGTTTAAATAAACCTTCATTTAGCATAATTAAGTCACTCTGAACCTAGAACACCTCGTCGCAGGCCAAAACCCCTGCTACTGGTGCTCATCCTCTCTCCTGTCTCTTCTTTCATTCCCAGAAAGGTTTCTCGGTGGTTTCCAAAAGAACTGAAGAAACCTTTTAGACTGAGAGCTCGAGTGTCGCTATCGAGAAGATGAGGAGTTAAACAACCTTAGGGAAAAGTAACATCGGCCTTCTGCACAGGGGTACTCTTGAATACGAGGTAGCTGTGAGCTGAAAAGGTTTTGTCAAGAGCCCAACGTGCCCAGGAGATGGGAAGACTCTGGAAGGTTATTCCCATTTCCACAGAGCGACACGGGGCAGGTAGAGGAAGGAGAATGAGCATACAGAGGTAGAGGAGAGAAGATCTTCACCCCAACAGACAGCTTTTACAAGAGCTTGCACACCTATGACTACCAGAAGGTTGTTCACACAGCATGTCCACAACAAAGACATCACTGGGAGGAACAGGACAGTCTGGTCCCCGAGACACCCCAGATCACAGCTGGCAAGTATGAAGAGAACCTTCACAGCTTCATCCCAGTTCATGAGCCCAGAAATGGCAGTCTGCAAGTGACCCATCACTGGAATGCTGAGTTTTCCTCAACAGCCAGTCATTAATATTACAGCTACAAACATTGGGTAGAATGATCTTATCTACAGTTAAAAAGACACAGAGCTCCTGTGCTGAAGTCTGTCCATTTGCTTCCAGTGGAATACTGAACCTATTTTAAAATCCTGCAACTTACATATACAGTAATGTGCTAAAGAGACTGGCACCAGAGCATTTATCAGTGTTGTTGACCGACTGTGGCATTTTCTGTGTTCCAAGGTTACACTTAAAGGGCAAAGATTACTTGCTTTTTTGTGCTGCAGCTCCACGCTATCAAGTCATGTATTTTTAATTCTAATTCAATTTTATTTGTTCTCTGTTTTTACGTGAACTACAAAGGCAAACTTACTTTTTTTCCTTGCGTTTGCTTAACTGATTCATTCAATACTGCTGGCCACTTACCCTAGGGATTTATCGGTTCTGCGGTTAGAGCAGAATCTTTGCAAACTGTTGCCATCCATTCTTTCCTGATTAAATTAATATTCCTTTTTTTTCCAGTCAACTTCTCTAAAACTCATTCCTTCATGACCTGCTTCACTGAAATTGTAGAGCCCTGATTTGGGCTCTACCTGTGCAGTTTCAAAGTATGCTTGCTATAGCCTGCTATATTGTGTTTACCCTGATCCCAAATGGCTCTTCAACCCGTTCTCTTCACTGTCTTGATCGTTCAAGTAAACCTTGATCAATAAATACAGCAGCACCCTCTGGCAAGTTCGACAGAGTAAGAGCTCTGAGTGAAGTGCCTTGATCTTTGTGGCAGGAACAATGTTACAAAAACAGATCTTTTCCAGCTCATAAGAGATTCAGTAACCCAACTGCATCCAGCCGTTGGTCACAGTCCATACGACTGCATTGAATCTGACAGTTATTTCAGACACCCATCCATTTTCTATCCCAGCAAGCCTTCATTTAGTTCACCTGGAATATTAAACTCTCTGTGAAGAGCCAGTGGTCAATAAACACCGCTGCTCTTAACATTTCAAGTGGTGTGCTCCACTATAGTCCTTTATCTCTGAGGGTATACTGTATATACAGTAGGATCTCTGAGGTGTAGAATCACGACCCAGTAGCAGCACTTGTTTTTATCCCCTCCATTGATTATACATCAGAAATGCCAAAAGTACGCATTTGGCAATAAGCGTGAGGCTTTGAATCCTGGCTCGAAAGATTAGTGCCAAGACATTCCTTTATTAGGCTTCTCAGCTGACTCGGATTTGGGAGTGTGTAGAGTTTGAATTAATCCTTTTCATTTCAAGCCGCTCAACTATTACTACTTCTTTCAGCGTTTCTGGGCGCTCTCGTTACCTCACACAGAGGTATTTAAGTACACCGAACAACAAAACACAGAACATATTCGGGAACAAGGGGTTATAATCGTTTTTCCAGGCCACTACTGGGACGCTGTTACAGGTGGGGGTGTTCAGACTTTGCCCACAAGGATTTCACGGACTTCTTAAAAAAAAGTTTATCGAGAAATGGATTTAAAAGCGGAAGAATTTTGTTTTTTACGCGGGACGTAGAAGAAGTAAAAAAAAAAAGGTTGGCGTTGGCTGTTTACAAATCTTAACGTCCACTTCCAACAGAGACGTCCCAAAATCAGGTAACTTTTTCAAGCATAGTAACAGTTAAACGTTTAGATGTGTTATATGAAAAAAGTGAGACGATTAAAAGTTAAATTTTATGATGAGTTATATGAAAGAAGCGATATACGCCATTAGATCGTAACTAGGATGTCTGGTTGGCGTGACTACGGTCGCACAGGGCAGCCGGACAGCAAGAGCACGGCGGAAACGGACGGCGGCCTTCCCGTCTCCGCGATGATCGACTTCACTGAAATCACCATGGAAACGACACCTTCCGACAGGCACAAGGTACAGTAGAGGCCTTGTGGTCACTGCGAGATGGAGCCAAGCTCAGTCAGGAGAGGGCTCCCTCAACCCGCTCATTTTCAGAGTTCCCCAAACGGACACTCCCGATATTTCTTTAGACAGCAACCCACGGCTCGTTACACCGCAACGGCATAGTGAGGACCAGTTTGGAACGGCGACCAATAAAGAGTCGCTTTTTTTAAAAAAAGTTTCGGAATCGTTTTTTAAGTAAGAAGTCACCGAGCCAAGCATATGCCAATATCCCGCACAAGTTCAACCCCTCCCCCAGAAATGCGGGCAAAACGCTTGGGTTCGGCTGCCTTTCTGAATTACTGTACCTCATGAGCGGACGAGGGTGAAAGTGATGTCGCCTCTCAGCTCTGGGTCCGAGGCTGCTCGTTCGCGCTCTGCTCCAGGGGCGGAAGCGCTTCGCATTGAAGTCACACTCGACGTCTTGGTCCGGTTCAGTGTCCATCTCCCTCCGTACGGCGCACGGACTTGTGCTTTTAGTGCTCACGCCCACATGAAATGATTTGTATAAAACAAAGGCGACAGGAAAAAACTGCACGCAGCCTCTGTGTGCTTTCTGGCGCCAGCTTAGTCTGAAGCATTAATTCAGATGGATAGCGGTAAAATATACCACACTACTGTAAACCCTAGCAAAGGCATTTAATACGTTTACTGATTGTGTACAACGCCTCCTTTCCCTTCGGGTTTGTTCATAATTAAAATGTTACCGTTTGTGCTTTCCACGCAAATTCCACGCAGTGTTGCCCATTGTCAGGAGCACTAAACCCACAGTTTCGCCACACCTATCAATAGCTTGTAGGGACCGTCTGTGGACAGTGTACAGGTTATTCATACAGTGAAATGATCGTTGCCATCTCGTAATTTTGAGTCAACTCAGGATTCCCCCCCCCTTGGTGGCAGCAATGCACTTCCGTATACAGTATATGATACCAGCGAGAGTACAGGCCTTACTAAGCCCCAAGCGCACGTAGATTAGCTCCCACAGACATGCCCACTACAGTAGGTTAATTGCAGTGTCCAGATTGTCCCGATGTCTGTCCTGCAATGGACCGGCATCCTTTTCATACCTTGTCCCCTAAGCCTCCTGGACAGGCTCCAGGATGGGTTAACAAGCTCTGCAAGAAGCCTGGGAGAGTCCTTATTGGAAACAGTAGGCAGTCCAGCAGCACGTTTAACACTCACCTCTCCTGCGCTTGTGGGGCCTGTCTGGGCTCCTCTGTCCGTCAGCTCAGTCACGCATGGAGTTGTAATCATTCCAGACGGAGTTCTGCAACCCGGCCTTCGAACCCGAGAGCGAGGCTGAGGAGACTCCGAACGGCCCGGGGAATAGAGAGCTCAGCAGAGAGCCCAGGCAAACAGCAGGAGGAGGTGAGCTCACTGGCGTTCATTTGTCACGTCTAACTGGGTTTCTTTACCTAGAACAGGTAAAGTGCCAATCCTAGTGCCGATGGGCCAGTGGTGTATTGACAAGTTTTCCCCATCATGAATCGCCCGATGGGCATCCTCTTTTGAACAGTTCCTCCCCAGCTCTTCAAAGTGCTGTTTCTCTAAAGTCTTTGAGCACCTGCAAGATAGACACCCTTATATATATACACACACACACAATTCCTTAGACTCACCACCATTGTGGACACTCCCCTCAAAGCAGTTTACAGGTCATGGGGATCCCCTCCACCCCCACCAGTGTGCAGCCCCACCTGGATGATGCTCCAGTCCTCTCCCCACACACCAGCTCTCAGTGGG